ATTGCATGTGTTTTGTGTATGTTTTGCACTGACTTCTCCATAGCCGCCTGGAAGGCCTCAGAGCCGGGGGCCTGCCTGTAGACTGGCTTGCCCTGCGGATCAATGACAGACACCTCGCTGAGAGCGCACTCCCTGGTGTGCATGATGAATCTGCACGTCTGAGGGACTTCGATCTCGACCTAAAAGGTATGTGACAGCAGACATGGTCGGGGGGAGCTCAGATAAGAACATTCTGTTATCAAGTGAACTGAAAGTGGGACACATGAACGGTCATGTACCTGACAGGAGACTTTAGGGCCGTTCCTCAGGTTGGCAGTGCCCACCACACCATTTCTGCTCTCTGTGGTGTACTGGTACACATATTTCTTATAGGCCTTGAATCTGGATGCCACTGCAAGAAGATAATGGTATCATAGGGTTATAGTGATTCCTTTATGTCCACCGCTCTGATCAAATAATTTCATGTTCCTAAATTAAACCTATTGGATTGTTCTGTTCCTCCTGTATTATAAGTTCACAGTTAAGGTTCCACATCATCACTTGGCAGCAGACCCTTGGACCTAGCCAGCAGCTAAATGTTCCCAAAACAGTGAACAACAGCTATTGTACTGGATCAGCATGGAACAAGAGTCCATCAGCTCCTGCTGCTATCTCCAGAAAACAGGTCATGTGTTTGCTAGTTTAGCACAGCCACCATCGATCTGTTAGCAGGTCAATGTGTCTGTTTGCAACAACATACCACCCCTCTATCTACCCTATGCACATACACACTCCAGGGGCATACACTGCGGAGCCCCTCACAGGAACTGACAAAGTCCAGAGTTTCTGGAATCACATCAGTTTGTGTTATGCATCATTCTTTTTTTTAACCCAAATAGTACTAATGAAAACAACCCATTTACAATCTCTAGAAAATGATTTTGAAGGTTGCATGGTTTTGTTGATTAAGTAACATTTAATGTGAATGTGAGTGATGAGTACATGGCAACTTACACAGACATGTTGGAGTTTGTTCATTATTGTCATTGCCGTCTTCTGAAAAACGAAACAGAGTGAGGGATCATAGGTTAATAGACATTATTGATGAGAATTTCAATTGGAAAGATACACAGCAGAATTGGGTGTGTTTTATTTTTCTCTTACTGATTGAATGCCAATTGATACTTTTTAAAAACATACACTGAATTTCTAAATGTTGAACTGCTGGTCAATAAAAACATGTTTGATCAAATATCTTTTCTTTTAGTACATGTTTACACACTATGTCTGCTTTTTTAACCAGGACTATGTACTATACTGTATGTTAGGACAGTAGTAAACATTAAGATTAAAGACACGTCAAAAGCATTGGTGTAAATGTGTAAATAAAATGAATGAGGGCTGAATTCCATGTGCAGTTTCAGGGTCCTGGTTTTGTGCATTTTGGTGTCCTCAAGGTGATTATAGTTAACTAAAACTAAACTAAATGTGGTTGTTAAAAAACATTTTTGACTTTAGAAAATAATAAAAACTCTCTGAAGCAATGCTGTGTACTTATAAAACAAACTGAAATACAATAAAAATATACAGGAAATGTCTTTAGTTTTAGTTTTTGTCCATTTGAGATGGGAACTAGGATGTGTGTGAATGACTGTGAGTAAATGTGTTTGCACTGTAATATCTATTCTGAACCTCTTAAATCATTCCCCTGAAAAATACCCCCCTTATAATATTTTTAAAAAATAGTCATGAAACTAATAAAAACTAAACTAATACTAAACATTTATAAAAGTGAAATTGAAATAAGCAAGCCATCTCTGAAAACAAATTAAACTGAATAGAAAACAGAAAGGAAAAACAAAATCAAAATAAAAACGTATAAAATATACCAAACTAAAATAACTGTCTGTCACAGGGTCAAAGCTTACTGAGGCATTAGAATAGAACATTCTTAAGGTTATTAGTAATACCTGTACTTTAAATCAAAGTATCTGCTGAGAGACAGGCCTGTATACAGCGGCTTCCTCACAAAATCATTTATTAAAAAGCTTGTAAGATGGTGTACAACAGACTCCTACTTACGAGCCAACGTGTAGCTGCTCAGCAGCAGTAACAGACACAGCTTGCTGTAACCCATCATGGGCTGAAGAAAAGGGCTTCCTTTGTGTTCCGCCCTCTCAGTCTTGACTAATACAGCAAGACCTCTACCTAGATCTTTTATAAAGTCCCTCTTCCCTGTCCCTCTAAAACCCAGCCCCGCAGAGTACCAGAGGTCTACAGACACAGCACGCTTCCAAAGTCCAAACCCTAGCACCAAGGGTTATCGTGGGCTAAATAGCGGTTTCTGAGTGGGGATTTCAGTCTCCAGGCCTCAGATACTGGACTTATGTTGCTGTCATCTGTACTTTAATACTCAATTTAGATTCATATTTTTGTGGTACTGAAATAATCAACTTTATAAGTTGGTCAATAGCTGGTGGAATATTAGATTCACTGAAGTTTTAAATAGACTGACGAGTGAACCGAAACCAGTTTTAAAAAACACCTCAGTACTTTATTGCTTGAAGTCAAAATGTCCTCTGTTGGCATCAGACGCTGCATTCAGTCCCAGTGTGGCCGTGCTGTTCTGGGATGTATATACCAATCTTATCAATAAACCAAATCCCTACACTGTGTCTCCTGATAAATTGTTTTCTAAAGATTACATTCTGAAGCCACAGGGGTTAAAGGTCAGCTGCCTGTCAATCAAAAGGCAAAACAGGATTGGAAATTTACCTCTCTCTCTCTCTCTCTCTCTCTCTCTCTCTCACCCCAACTGGTTGAGGCAGACGACCACACACCTAGAGCCAAAGGATCTGTTCTAGGTTTCTGCCTTTTAACAGGCAGTTTTTCCTTGCCCTTGTCGCCAAGGTCTTGCTCATGGTGGTACTGTTGGGTCTCTGTAAATAATGTTATAAGGAGTTCAGTCTAGACCTGCTCTATTTGAAAAGTGTCCTGAGATAACTTCTGTTATGAATTGGCACTATACAAATAAATTTAATTGAATTGAATTGAAATTGATAATCGAGGGTTTTTCCTTTCTGTCCAGGATCCACTCCAATGCTTGTTGCATCTGTGTTTGTCTCACTGTGTGGACACTGGGACAAAAGAACTTGAATTAGGTCATAGTAATTTGCTTAGACACATTCTCACAGTCACTCTTTTTGGTCTGTATCCTACACAAACTAGAAATGAATCTTAGATCAAGAAAAGAAAATATTTGTTTACATTCATGTGCACACTTCCGAATTAGGCTGACCTTCTTGTCGTCATGGTTTTGGGTTATTATTATTTCCTGTTTCATTTTGTAATTCTCGTCCTATTGTGTCTTGTTTGGCTTCACTTGCTGTCTTTGTCGGTCTTCCCTCCAGTTTTGATTGTCTGTCCTGTCCTGATTATGTTCACCTGTGTCTCATTATCTTTCCTCGCCTGTGTGTTCAGTCTCTTGTTTCAGTGTCAGTCCATCCTGGTTACTTTGAACCTGTGTTCCTTTGTTGGACTGTTCATTTTTGCTTTGCCTGGACCGGTATATGTTTACCTCCATGTCTACCTGCCTACCTGCATATTGCTATTAATATCACTGAAGTCATCCTGTGGCCTGCTGCTGTAATGCTTTTGGGTTCAGTGCTGTTTTTCCTGAGCTCTGACACTTTTATGCCATCTGTCACAAGTTCCTCACTGAAATGTATCAGTGATTATCAGCCTGCTCTTAGATTTATTCCAAAATGATACATTCACAGTATTTGAAGGTGCCTCTGTGAAGGTCTCCATTGGTCCAGACATGTTTGGCAGGCTGTGCTGTAGAGCTGACATCTCGAGCTGATACAATAAGCTTAGTGTCACAGACTCCTGTTACTGTCTGTGGTAGAATGTAACTAAGTACATTTACTCAAGTGATGTACTTTATTTCAGTTGAGTATTTCCATTAAAAACAACAAAATACAATACATGGATAACAACATAGAAATATAAAAGCACTGCAGTCCAAAGGGATTCAAACACTTACAGACATTTGTTCCAGTGTTTCCAAGACAAGAGGAGCACCTTGTGTCACTTTGTGTAGGCTGGGTTGAGGCTGTTATGATTGCATTTTTTGACTCAATTAATTATCACAAACATGACTTGTCCATTTTGGGAGCGACTAAAAGACTCTAAATGCATCATAATATGCCACCTTTTCATTTTTGAAACACTATAACTGCACCACAAGTGGGCAGTATAGAGCCGAGTACAGTAGGCTCTAAAAAGGGCTCTTTTGACATCACCTGTTCACATATGAAGTTTGTGTGCCAGCATTGTGCGTACATACTGCACATTGTCATCATCACATAAATCCACCACACATCTTCCTTTGTTCGCAACATTCAACACACAGCCTGCCTTAAAGAATGAAGGAAAACTTTGGTTCTGATCATCCTTGGTTTTCATGATAACAGTTAAAAGTTCAATTTAATGTGTGCACACCATGACTTGAGCAGACTCGTAGTAGTTGCTGTGAACCCGCGCTATAAGTAGACAGGACGATATATTGTCAGATGGTTAAGAAGATTATCCCCACCAACTTTTTAGAAAGATCATCCATATACAGATTGAAAAGAACAGGTGACAGGATTCCACCTTGTCGGACCCCATTGGTCCTGAATGTTCTATCTGTACAGAAGCACAGTGGGTAAAAATAGGATAGTCCAGCACATAAACCTCCATAACAGTCATTTTAAATTGTTTTCAGAATGAGATATAAGCAGATATAATAAGCTAAGCTATCCTGCTGCTAGCTGTAGCTTCATATTTAAAATACAGACAAAGAGTCGTATCAACTTTCTCCTCTAAGTCATGGCAAGAAAGTGAATAAACATTATTTCCCAATGATTTAGACATTATTCCAACTAATAAAGCATGGGACAGTTTGGCATACCTGGTCAGCTCTGAGCCTCTGAGCTGGATCCCAGAGTCAGAGCAGCCTTTTCTCTTTGTGGCTGAGATTCGGTGGCTCGCTGTGGGTGTCGGTTTCGGACTGAAAACCCTTCTGCGTTGGCATTAGGCATCGTCCAGCTCAAACCTTCCCTCCTGGCATATGTGGTGGATATGGTCATCCTCTCTCATAGACCTTATATTTCGTTGCTAGGCCATAGACTGTAACAGCACAGAATAAAAATAGGACTTTTATTGTCACACAACATTGTTCCACTTGCACTGAAGTTTTAAAAGACAAAGGAAACATACTCGTGTCCATGAAAGAGAGGAGGCAGGTGGTCAGGTCTACTTTGATGGTTTTAGACCCCTGGTTATTAAAGAGGAGTCCAGTTAGCCATGTTGTGCCCATTCCCCCTCTAAAACAGACAGAAATACAGGCCAATGAGTTGAAAAAGTAAAATGCATCTAAGCGCCAAAATAACAAGCCAGTCTGAATACTTTGTACTGCAAACTAACAGTAAATATATTGCATGAGAGTTATAGGGTGACATATCAGAAATAAACAATACAAGAGGACTCCCTGCCAGAATTCAAACAGAACCATAAAATCTTGTGTCCTTACTCTTATTGGCCTTTGTGCGTCCAGTGATGGAATGTAGGTTCACATGGGCCAGGGAAATGTCCAGAAGTCTCTCAAGATTTCCCACCAGGAGTCTGACTTTAGACTCCACCAGGCCAGCCCTGAACAAGTCAACAAAACATAATTTTGAAGAAAGCCCCACAGTAGGTGGAGATCAAACATTCAGAGTGAACCACAGGCATTATTAGGCAAGATTGTCTACAAAAATGTCTCCACTGGTTCCACTGTGACTTTGTCTTTGCTCTGTGTACTGTGTCTGAAGATGCTTACAGCAGCATGTAATGCCTTCACACATAAGAGACACATAAACGTCACAGCATTGTATACAGGCTGCAATATGATTACATTCATCACGTCCTGTTGTACCAATAGTCATAGTTGTAGAATTCTCTGATCAATATTTAAAGCAGCTAGTCTTCATCACATCATTATAAACTTGAAATATAAGCAATCAAACGCTCTTCAAAGACAGGAGCTGTGCTGTGTGAAAGCGTAAGCATCCTCTGTAATGAATCTGCGTTTGTGCGTTTAATGATTTAAATGTTTTAAAAATCAGCATCAGGAACTGTTCACGACTGCTCACTACATCGAGCACGTCTTCCTCAGGCTGATTACTACATCGTCACCATATCAAGGACACTGTGTGTGTAATGAAGATAATGAAGAGACAGATGTATTCACACAATAGAAATAACAGAAACTCCAGGCTGGTCCAGGAACAGCAAATGGAAGTCAGACAGCACATATGAAGAGCTTCAAAACAGATTCAAAGCTCCAACAATCAACTTCTTCAGTCACTTGAAGAAGCTTCAGTCCATATTTGGAATAAAGAACAACAATCAATGTGAAGTTTCCATCCACACACACACAAACAGATGATCCACTTCTGTCTACATTCTCAGTTCAAATAACAAAAGCCAGTGTACAGCTTCATTAAATAATACATTCAACAGTTGGAATCAAGTACAAAGTGAAGTTAGTCACCCAATAAAATAATAACAGCAAACAGAGACAAAGCTTTTGGCAGATTGATTACATAATAGGCATTCAAGAATCCATGTGAGTCAGTGTACATAACAAAAGCAAATCAGTTGCATTAGAGTCTGAAGTAGCAACACTCACTAAATAAACAGCAGCTAATTCACGATAAACAAACTGAAAACAAGTCCACAGAATCCAGAGATAAACATACAGCACAGAAATATACAACCAGTCAATTACATCATTTGGTTCAGATACAACAGGGTACAGTGGTACAGAATCAGAGCCACAGGCTTTACTTTGTTACAACCCACTACATCCATATCTTTATTAAGACAATCAATGAAATCATCAGAAAAGGCAGAAGAAGACAGTTTGACAGTTTTATCAGGAATACAGAGTAAATGTTTTGTATTTTGAACGTGGCGATGCACATTTTCATCTTCCAGCAGCCTAATACATACTAGTAGCTCCTGAAGAAGTCTCAAACTGTTTGGACCAGTCAGTTTTCTTTCTGCCCGATCAGGCAGTGGTGTGACCTGTGAATGAGGATGGAAAAGCTTGTTAAAGTCGGAGTTCAACAAAATCCCAACTTTGTTCACACAATACAATCCTTGTAGTGTCGCAGTAACACTGCGTTCAGTCAGCTTTGTGACAATGCAGGTGGCATGGTGAGCGTTCGCTGGATGTCAGCTGAATGACTACATACCCCGCTCGATCGCCCCCGTTATGATGGCGAAGGTGGAGGGAGACCCGTTGAAGCTGGTGTTCTGATACGGGTACGCTGGGGGGATGATGGGCATTATGTGCGTGCGGTCACTTGGATTCATCTGGAAATGCAGAACACAGCATTTTCAGCTCACCTGTGCTTTTGAGCTAATGTGCTAATGAACTGACTGATTGTGTATTTGTAGCCTGTAGTTCTGATAAAATCCTGCCGAGGACTTACCCCGGGACACCAGACAGGAAGCTTCAAGTCGCAGTTCATTGACTGAAAGTGTCACTTTCCATGTCGTGCTCAGAAACATTTATAATTAGGTATCTTACATAATTAAAGCCCATTTTACCCCACAACAAATAAACAGATGTATATTCAATTTTCTTTAAATATAGTTTTAATTGGTGGGGGAAAAATATAATTTAGAGCCAAACTGAACCTTATGTGGGCCAACTTTGGCCCATGGGTCACACTTTGGGCAGCCCTGGTGTAAAGGGACAAGTTCCAAATATTTGCAGTCTCTGAGTGAGCCTACTCTAAGCGGCTGTGTGTGTTCACTCACGTTTGACCCACAGCTTGGTGGCTCTCAGAACCAGCCTGAAGGTGTGGACGTTTGGCACATGACGGAGGATCTCCACTGTGACTCTGTAGCCTGCAAAGAACAGAAGAATAAAAAGATTGATACAGAAAGTCACAGCAAAAAAGGCTTAACACAATTACACACAATGGTACGCAGTCATACATGGCAACAGCTCTCCTGAGTACAGCTGTCAGGGACTAATACTGCAGCGTTTGCCAGCATTGTATCCTTTATTCTGATGCTTACCATTGAGACTCCTGACACAGCGTGAATCTAAGTTCCTCAACAAGTTGTTGTTGAGTAGATCCAGATTGTCAGGAATGCTCCTCTGTGCCAGCTGGGCAAAGACTAAATCCATGTAGAAAATAAGGGAGCACAAAAACCACCATGAAGAGACACATAGACAGAACTTTAAGACAGAGAGACAGAAAATGTCTGTGGCCTCCTTCTGAGCCTTCAGCTTCTCCAAGAAGGAGGTGAAGAAGTCCTCTCTCTATGAATGCAGGTGCAAATGTGTCCCTATGCTCTGAAGCTCTATCTTCAGCATGAACCTCCGCTGTGTGACCCTTCAATAAAAAGTGTCACTGGTGAAGTTTAGATCGAATTCCAATCCCATTGATCACACAGCAGCTTCACATGTACTGAGCCACTGTGAATGAACCCAGTTTGACCACATGTTGTGAATCACATTAGTTAAAGTCACAGTGAAATACAAGCTGCCACAGTCCTGAGGTGCTCTTACAGTTGAGGAAAGAAAACATACCTTTTGAGTGGACTCCCAGATAAAAGGAGCCAAATGGGAAGATTTTTCCCCCAACTTTGGCTGCCACTATCTCAGGAACGTTTTAAAATAAAAAATAAAAAGTTATATGTTATCTGTGCAGGAAACATGTTTTCAGTATCATATGTGGAGTTACTTTTGAAACAATATAGATAAAAAGATGTCTTACCATCTTTACACAGACTTATAGAGGGACTCCAGTCTTTTGACCACCTTCTCTCTGCAAATAAAAAAAAAATCATTTTCAAATATTGTATTTTCTGAGAAGCACATATGGCGCCTGTGGTCTCCGCTGCGTTCAAGTTTGTTTAAAGAGTAACGTGCCCGTGAATGTTCCTGTTCAATATAAACGGGTTTATTCAAATTTTGGAGCGTAATGATGAACTTTCTTCAAACTAATACTCTGACTGTATATGACCTCCCAGTTTAAAGTTTAAGCGATCTGCTGCTGCACACATGGTTTTTAAGTGATTAGAGATTTTAATTAATTAATATCTCACCATGTGAGCTTATTAGCCAACAGTAAGTGTGCACCAGATGTGAATAATTATATGGACAGAAAAGTGTGTGTAGAGATTTATAATGTTTTGATCAATACAGTATATTCATTTCTTAGTAACATTTCCCACCATGTTGATTGTATAATTAAACAAAAGTTAGTGTGTAATGTGTGTAATTACATATACTGTCAGTCACATCTGATTCAGTTCACTTTAAAGTAGAAAATGTCCATCAGTTCGACACTGTTACACCTTTTGAAATCATGCATCCCAAACGTAAACCCAAACCATGTCTGAAGAGAGCACATTAAATATAATATGAAATATACATAAAATCACTTAGGGATCATCAGTTTAACAAATGGTAAAAAAAGGTCTCCCTTAAGGAAAAATGGTGAACCACAGTCCCAGGAGCTGCATCCCGAACACTGAAGTAAAACCATGATCTGGAAGGATGAGACTAGTTCAGAAGATTGGTGAGGCAGGAAGGGAACGGGACTTTGTAGGCACAGATATTGAATATATGTACAGTATTTCTATTTCTACGGTTGCGTATTCAGGAACAACAGTATATCAAGTACAGTTGTGGTTCTGAATTTGACAAAAAAGAAGCCTATTAGGTCTGTATGATTGTTAAAAATAATGAAAAATACATTAAACAGACAACAAACCAAACAGAGAATTATATAAAACGTCCTTTCTAAACAGGAAATAATCTTCTCAAAATTCATCCAAATCACTTGTTTTACACAAACTCCCTGCAGTTACTGAGAACACTGTTTGGGTTTATTGAATATAATATGAAATATCTATGAAATATGTCACTGAGTCAGTTTACTTAATGATAGGAAATGTGTCCCTTAAGGAAAAAGGTTGAGAACCAGTGGAGTACAGGACACACAGACAGTGGTTGTAGAATATTTGAAGAAGATAGGATTATATCATCTAATTTAGCGGCTTATTTAAATATTATTGTCATTTAATACTGCTTTATTGACGTAATGATGTAAAGTCGGGACAATAGCTCATAGTGCACACTCCGGTACAGTAGGTGGCGCTATGCACTTTATAAATAATGGTTGCAACCCGCCACAAGACCAAAAAAGTGTGGCGCTTCCGCCTGTAAACATGTCATTGGACTGCTTATATAGATTGTCAACTTTCCTACAGGACACTGAAATAAGCCTTTGTAAGGTAAAACCTGGATAAACCGCGCTAAATGTCAGCCCGTATTTCTACTGCCAACAGAACTGCGTAGCGACTGAAATACTGGCTGATTTCTCTTAGATAGGACTCTTTTGCTAACTAGCATATAGCCCAGTATTTAGAATTAGTATTCGGTTATATAGTGAGCTGCACAGATGATTCGGTTGGCTAAGCTAACTAACACTGCACTGTTTTTAATGAAATGAATACATTTGTAGCCAGTTACTGTGTAGGTAATGGCGGCTGTCTGTTGAGGTCAGAAGCTGACCTTTTGCACATATAAACCAGACCAGAGCACATACTACTGCACTGTTTCATTGGCACTGTAGCAACATTAAAGTTTGAACTCCATAAAGGCCTTTTCTTCCGCTTTACTTTATTATTATTATTATAAGTAGATTGTGACACAGTTCCAATTACCTCTCAGCATCCTTCAATATGTTATTGTAACACAGTGAGTGAGTGCATTGGCAGTGTTCAGCGCATGTGCAAACAAATGAGACTTAAAGCTGCTGTAGGTAATTTTAATAAAAATAACTTTTTGTCATATTTGCTGAACACTGCCAATGCACTCACTCATGTGTTACAGTAACATTCAAAGATGCTGAGAGGTGCTACTTCCTGAATATCTATGAAGAAAGGCCCATGGGAAGTGCACTGTCTCTTCATTTTCATCCATTAAATGTTGCAAAAAGAAAGAATTTTAGGTAACATTGCAAAAGTGGAGGTTTCTGTAGAATGACCCTCACATAGGCCAGTGTGAACTGGGATGTGTTCGCATAACTCAGTAAAAATGAACAAACTACACACTTTGAAATGAACGGAACAAAAAATGGGAATCAGATTGATTTTTGACCTCAAGAGTGCACGGGTCAGAGGTCAGTCTCACTGAAGTCATTATCAGACTTGAGAAGCTGCCCTCGTTGACGTCTGTTTGTGTCTGTGTCCTTCAAATTGTTGTGAATAACGTACAGGGAGCTCATTGTGAAATTGCTCTAGTGGTCGACCGATATGAGCCCATGCAGATATTTAGAGAGCAGGACGGCCAATGGCTGATATATAATGCAGATATCAATACAAAGAAAAATCATGTATAATTCCATTATTCCATGCATTACAATCTTATATTAGCCAGTAAGATGTTGTTTTAGATGGGACTTTCTATGAATGAATCAAATAGAAAAATACATTGGGTTATGCTAGCATTAAGCGGGGTACAGTATACAGAACTGACATCATTCAGTTGCATTGTTTATTGTTATAACTTAATGTATATTTAATCTGTCAGTTGCATTTGAACACACCACAAACACTACAGCTGACTGTCAACATGCATGTACATTCTGTACCAATGTGAGATTATGTGAAAAATATAAAGCAGTACTATTTTTAAGGCAGATACTGATATTGATATTTGGGAGTTTGACAATACAATAACAATATATCATTGTCTTATTTTACAGTTCAGTCAGACAAGTCACTTTGGAAATGTTTATTACAGCAGTACAACATAGTTCTGACCTCATGACCTGCAGATATGTTTACACAGAGACATTGGGGAGTGATGAGCAAAAACCTTCAACCAGATTGGAAGGGTGTGTTTGGTTCGTGATTACGGAGAGTGAGACATGTCATCTGTGTAGCAGTACAGCTTGAGTTGACTGCCTGAACTAGCTTGTAGCTTCTTTATTTACAACAACATACACATCAAAAAAGAACATTATTGATATAGATCCCTTAGATTTGGTTTTGTCTTTTGTTTTTCTTATTCTCACCAATTTATTTTTTTATTGGACAAACTATGTACCTCAAACCTAGTTTGGCATTTATGGCTGCAATTTTTTTGTTACTTATTGTGGGACAGATACACTGATACAGACGGAAATATCAGCCTGGCTGATTTGTCGGTCTAACAATAAATAGTTACTAGTCTTTAATTTAAATCCCCAAATCGTGGCAGAAACACAAACTAGGCAACTATTTCCTCTCTGTCTGCCTTTCCTTTGCTCGTGGAGTCGAAGTCCAAAAACATTAAAAGTTGGTGGTTCACTAGGCTGAACAGACAGCTTTAAATTCCGTAAATATAGCATTGGCTGGAAATAATGTAAAATATTTATAGTAAAATAATATTTTCACATTTTGAAAACTCTTGTCTGTTTTTAGCTGAAGCATGTGGACTGCTGTAAGAGCTGCCAGGCGTTCCCTCAGATACTTCAGGAGTATCTGTAAGTCTGCCATGGACTCAGGTAAAACACACACATACATACATACATACATACATATACTACATACATATTCCTTTTGTATGGAATTGCCTGTTAGGGGTAGTAAGGCAAGCACTTCAGAGATGAGTTTTTAAGGGTTCGGTATGTTGCAAGAAAAATTACATGTCTAAAATCTACTCAGGAAAAATTTAAAAGTTGCTCATTCAACAGGTTTTCCCAGTGACTAACTGATATTAAGTGGGACAGCACAGAATATTATTTCAGATGATTTAGATATAAGAAGACCGAGTTATAGCACTTCCTTACTCTTTGCCCTTGTCCCTTTTTCCTTTACACATTGGCCAGTTTCAATGTTAATGTAAAATATAGAAATGTATAGTACGATTTTAAATTGTGTCCCATGTCTTCACCAAGTTCAGTGGGAAACTGAGTGAGAGAGTGAGCTTATGTGTCACATACGCCAAATAGACCAATGTATGAATGATAAATCCAGTTTGGTATTTCCCTCTGTGTGTACTGTGTTTGAGAGACACAGAGGACGGGTTAACAGTTACCTAATTTGAAATTCACAAGTTTTTTGCACTTTTACATCGTCAAACACTAGACCCAAAGTTTCAACCTCACCCTCTCATTCTCTCTTATATACATATTTTTGTGTCTCTCTTTTAACCCTCTTTCATATTCCCCTCTGTTAACAGTTCTCCCTTTACCCCTATCTGCCTCCTCTTCCACCTTGAACCTCTCCGTTTTAAGATTAACTACATCCAAGCCTTCTTTACTTGAACATTAACTCTAGTTTAACAGATAAGAGGAGACCAGAGTCTTTGATAGGCGAGTTTGGCCAAATGATATCCAGTCCTCCTCCACCACTGCAGTCACCGGATGCTGTAGCTGGACTGTAAAAGCCAGCAGGGCTGCCACTGCGGGTTGCACTGATCCAGAAGCAAGAACCTGAGAGCAGAAACCAGTTTGTCCGCAGAATAGGAGAAAGTTGTAGTAGTGGTAGTTGTTGGGGTAGTGTATGTTCTGTGATGGAGCGGTCAAATAATTTTAATTCTATGAGTCCTGCTGAGTTGAGGCTGTTGATCAGGCAGGAAGATCCCAGAATAAGAACCACGACTGGATTAGCTAATGGTAAGAGGCAGTGGATCACCCATAGGGCTGCATGTCACACTGGAGTTATTTTTGGTGTACTTGTGGAACCTTCAATCTTAAAAATATATATATTATTATTTATTTTCTAATTGTTAATTATTTTGTACCAAGACTGTGATTATTTTCTAGAAACATCTATAAACTACAGGACTGTGTTTGTCTGCGTATGTTTGTACCAAGCATAGTCACAAATCACAGATTAAACAATTTAAATTTCAAATTGAAATTCCATATATATTTCCTGGAGTAGTACAGGAAGTTGTGCTGGAAGCCAGGTTTCTATTTAGAAAGGAAAGATTAATAAACAAGTGAATAATTTAGAGAAGTGGGTTTGCTAAAAGAGAGTGAGGGAATAAGTCTTAAGTTTGACTGAAGATTCTCAAAGTGTTTCAGGAAATGTCCACACACATTTTGGAACCTTTTGTTTGAGTTACAGACTCAATTGCGGATCTCTGGGTCGAAAAGCATCGATATTTGAGGACCTGGAAATGAGACTCAGCACTCAACTATTGTTCTTGACTCTGATTGGTTATTTTCCTTCGGTCCAGTGGATTCTTGAAAACACCATTAGGAGCACCAGGAGGAGCCTGAACCTGATTATTCCACAGATTATCTGACTCATGTACTAGTTTCAGGATATAGTGATCAATCAGACCAAACTGTGCTGCAGGCTTCTTTGTTTCCTTTGGAAGTTTGTTGTCCTGAAGCTGTTGGAAGATGCACGAAGGAGCCCTTCCCAACCTGTTCACATATTTGTTGCAGTAAAAAAGAAGGCTGTCATCTGCAAATAGCTGAAGGCACTTTCATGTTCTGATAACTGCATATGGAGACTTAAAGCTGGACTCTTGTACTGGAGCGAATGGTAAATGTTTCTGTTATAACATGCATAATAAAATGTGTGTATCTGTGTGTCAGGTTACCAGCAGGCTAACGTTGTCGTCCTGCCCAATCATCTGGCCAATGACTTTGAAGCCTTCTGTCGCAAAAATCCCGCCCCCTTGCCACTCCTTTATCGCAGCCAATCAGGAGAGACTTCCTGTCAGCCTCTTGCCAAAAATGCTGATATAAGGTAGAGCACACACACATACACCACACACTGAGCCACAGATTTCCATTATCTTTGACATTGTGTATTTATATTTGTTCTTCCTTTTGCTCCAGTGTGACAGTAAGTTTAAACATTAGTCCTGCAGTGTTTAACAAAACAGTCAGAAACTCTGTGCCTCCCACTTTATCAGAGGTCTAGTGAAGAAAAATCACTGACCAGAATCCAAAAAGTCAAAGTCTCTTCAGTAAGTTCAAGAAGACTGAAGGTGATCTAGTTCTGTTTGTTCCTTGTGATAAATAATTGACCTCTGTATAAACTAATGTTTATCACTCTGTTACTGTATAGCTCTCGTCTTCTGCCTGCCAATGTTAGAGCTGAACTGTTTTGAACATGATATCAGCAGCACCTGTACTCTAAACATTAATGGGATAGAGACAAACCAATCAAATGTAAGACATTGACCTAATAGTTTGCACACAGTACTCAGCATACTGCTCAAAGCACATAACAGTACAGAGGTATTATCAGAGATATATCAACTGTTTTTACTGATCCCCAATGCGCCTAATGCTTACTGGTGCTTTACAATCCAGGGTTCAACATTAGTTTTTTCTGGGTAAGAAATCTACTTGGCCAAAGTCCATTTTTAGTTCCCCCAATACACATTGTTGTTATCATGTCATTAATTATTATGTGTCAAATAACAAAGACCCTCTTAGCTGCCATCAAGCGAGATGCTATTGGACATTTGGAAACTTTGACGCGCTTTTGAAAACTATGCCATTTTATCCTCCTGTAGGTATCACGATGTGATAAAAACATCATATTGTGATTATTTTGACCAGATATTGCAAAATGATTGATGATTAATATCATTTTTACAGAAAAAACTATTAAAATTATGATTATAAAGGTGGCCCATACCATGTCACATGTCTGGCAAAGTCACAGCGGAAGACAGCGTGGGCTGCTTCCTGATGGACCTGGTGCCCACCATCTCCGCCGAGGACTTTGAGAACATGCTCAATTCCACCATCAATGACTGTTGATGGTGACCTACCTGTCTAACCTCACCCAAGCACAGATTGCTCTAAATGAGAAGCTGGTGCTGCTCTGAGGCGATTTCTTTAAAGTGATTCATATTTAATTTTTGTATTTTCATACATATAAATGACAGCTTTTGCAATTTAACCTATTGCACTTTCCCATATTGCAATTTCAATAATATTTTGATTAATTGTGCAGCCCAATCCTTGCAGAAATACCTGCCACCCAATGAATTTGCCTAACCTACGTAAAAGCAGTGTTACATCCTACTGCAAAAAATATTCTCGTTTCTCATCTGTTATTTGTACATACATCCAACTACATTAGATATGAAAATTATAAACAAAACTAATTTTGTTTGTGCATTTATCCTTCCACTTCACATCTTCCCTTTAATCTTGCAACATGACCCATTGATGAGCGTTTGTGTGTTTCTGTGTCTTCAGGACTGACATCTCACAGTACTGTGTGTATGAAGAGGGTCGGCTGGTGAAAACAGTCTCCAGTCTGCAGAGTTACAGCACTCAGCCAAGGTATTTTAACAAAGACAGAGCACTGCACTAGAAGCGGTTCGGTTGAGGTCAAACATGCAGAGGAAACTATGATGAAGAGTTTTAGTTTCAGGATAACTCAGTGGAAAAAGATATACAGCATATAAATAATTCTACCTGGGTAAACTCAGGTAACCCTGACAGCAACAAAATAGTATCACCTGTATGACTGTGCTTGTAATTAAACACTAACATTGATTCAGTTAATAATTACATAACACACTACCCAACAGAGCATCAAAGGGATCTCATAGCATGCACTATGTATGTACAATATGTAGGGCTGATGGCTACATATCACACACAGCACAAACAGGGGCTTTAAGAAGGCCCAGTCCCCTGTCTTTCCCTGGGTTAATCTGGCCATGTCAGTAGGCCTGTGGTGAATGAGAAAAATGGATTGAGTCGAGCTGAAATCAGATTGAGATAGTTAATCATGTTTAATGGTTTAGGATTTTAAGCCTCATTTATACTTGTATACTGCATCTACAAAACCTTCATAGTTAAGCATGCATTTCTTCATAATGGACAGACTCTGCAATACCATTTAGTCAGCTGGCAGACTTTTTTTTTCTATACTCTTTATTTATTGTAATTCTTTATTGCAATAATAACGTCCCAAAGCAATCAAAGAATGATTTTGTGATCCACACCAACCTCACTCCTTTTTATCGTGCTCCCAGGATTGCATCAGAGCTGCAGGCTGTGCATCATGGCCGCTGGTCAGACATGGTGTGTTTCTATCTGGGCTGCAGTTTTGGCTTTGAGGGTAGACTGAAGAACGCTGGAGTCCCTGTCAGGAACGTGGAGCAAGGCACAAATGTCAGCATGTACAGGGTATGTTACGAATATCTACAGTATGTGGAGCAGATCAATTGTAACACCTTTGTATGATTACAGTATATTAGACTGTAGAGATGAACTATAGTCACACACCACTGTAAGATTTGTGCATCTTGTTTTGTCAAATGTACTTGTGTATCTTGGCCAAATGATTATGTCTATCGACTATGTTTTACAATAACAGGTTCCTACAGCCTGAGGTGAAAAATTTTAGCCAATTTGCATAAAATAAAGAAAAAATGATTGCACACCAGACAACCTTTCCTAAAGAAAAGTATATAATATAGAATAGTCTGTTATATAATTTAAAAGTTCAGAGTAAACCATACTGTATGTGTGTGTCCAGACTGCAGTTCCCTGTACTCCTGCAGGAGTGTTCAGCTGCCCTCTAGTGGTCACTATGCGTCCTGTTCCAGCTGCCATGTTGGATGCAGCTGTGGAGGTTACTCACCTCAACCCTCTTGCACATGGAGCACCTGTACACATAGGAGACCCAGGTACACACACACACACACACACACACACACACACACACACACATGCTTTACACAGCATAATAACCTTAATCTACCAGTACATGACTTGCCATTATCTCTGTGTGTGTGTGTGTGTGTGTGTGTGTGTGTGTGCGCGTGTGTGTGTGTGTGTAGCTCTCTTAGGCATACAGGACCTGTCCAGACCAGACTATGGGGACCGAGTGGAGGTGCAGCCCGGCGATGTCACAGTGTTCTGGGCCTGTGGAGTGACTTCTATAGAGGCAATACTCAGCAGCAGTGAGCAATATGATTCTGTATTCACTCCATTATCTTCTCAATGACTTCACAGTCTTTCATCCATTCATTCTTCATATTCTATCTCTTTCCAGAGCCTTCTTTGGCATTCAGTCACTCACCAGGTTGCATGTTCCTGACTGACATCCCAGACTCCTCCCCTTCTTCCTCCATGCCTTCAGCATCTGAAAGTGTAGACCGGCCCGCCACGGATCGCAATCTTGAACTGATCCCCCGCTGCTTTCTGGTGTCCCAAAATCCCTTGATGTACAGTTTGGCATCTCAGAGGGCCGTGGCAACCATCAGGCAGCTGGAGACGATTATTGGAGAGGACCCGGGTAAACCCGTACAAAGCGTGATGTTATTCCCTTTGTTGATGTGTCCAGTCTTGTATCGTTCTGCTATGCATTCAGATTTTTAGAGACAACATTGAGTTTGTAGAAGTGCTCCATGTACAATGACACAGCAGAAAAAGAGTTCACTCGACCGACTGGAATGAGATCAAAATCAGGGGCTCTTTGACTTAGGGGGCAGCCCATTACTAAATGTTATTATACTATGTAGACACAAGGAGTGAATCTCTCTCTGAATGAAGGAGTAAAGGAAAAGAGAAGACGTATATGAACGGGGGTAATGGATTATCTGGCAACATTTCTAAGATACACCAGACAGGAGCTAAACAAGTACACTCTGTGGCAATATTCATGCTGCAGTTGTGGCAATAACACTTAGGCATATATGTCCAATGGTAACTTCATTTAGATTGATCTAACTCTGGCCCACTTGTAGAGCTCTGTGTTGTATTTGCTGTTTGTCAAACAGTCCTTTGTTGCCTTACCTTATAACATTATGCATATGAAATGTGTAGCTTATACAACAATAAGAGTTTAAACAAAAAAATAAAAGTTATAAACCTTTGCTAGCTACTAAATTAAGAACCCAGAAAATCTAGGTGAACTGATGAAGGTTGATGGTGTCCAGCTACAGATAGATGGTAGATACTGGGAGAGCCTCTGTGGTTATTAGCAGTAAAGCTGCTAAACGCTCTGCTTCATGGTGTGTCTGTCACTTTCTGTCACCAGGTGAACGAGGGATTAGAGCTTTATTTGTTCAGGATGAACTTCTGCGCTCCTGTCTGGCACTCTCCCACGCATCCTCTGTTGCCATAACAACCGGCTTCCCCACACATTACCAGCACAGGTACACATATACACATATATGTATACAGTTGACACACAGGTATATTTACACACTCGTGCAGCTGTTCTCACACTAATATTCTTACACTTGTCTGCAGCTCAGCTGACACTGCTGAAACATAATTAACTATTCAGTATGTGATTTGAGGTTTGCCTATAGAGCAGAGGTGGCAGGCAGGACTCTCCAGGGGGATCCAGACTGCTTCAGAGGATGTTCTTTGAATGGAAGTGAGAAATATTACAGTAGTTACCAGAAGGAAATCATACAGAATAGCCTAAATGTGTGTGATTGGTTAAAAAGATAGTTTAGCAATAGTCTAGTAAATAGTCTAGCAATAGTTTGGCTGTCTTCGCACTTTCCCAGAGTCAGAAACTCATACTTAATTCCTTTGGATAGACCTTTTTCCTGTATTTGGTGTAGTCTGAAGTCATGTCAAACAGCAATATCAGGCTCAATTGTTGTTATCAAATGACAATGAAAACACTTTGAAAACCTCTGCTCTCTAGTATAGCACATAGGGGAGCTGTGAGTCTGCCCCAACCAGAGGTGGTAACACACTGCCTTAACTGTGAACATCAGCTGAAACAGGAAGCTGAGTTTGGACCAGTCCCGTGAAATTATAAAACTCCCAAATATTTACTGTTATTGGTATTTACCCTTTAGCCCTCCTGATGAGACTGATGGCCCACCCGGAGCCATTGCCATGGCAACCATGCTGCTGTCGTTAGGGAAACAGGTGACAATGGTGACGGACAGGAGAGCCCTGGATATGAACCAAGCCATCATTGACGAAGCTGTGAGGAAAGGTGGGAAAGAGTTTTCATTCAAATCTGTGAGAGCTGAAAAGAAACGTACCTGTTCTCATCCTTCATTGTTTAATGAAATCTGTGTCATTTTTAAAGAGAAAGCTTCTACTCGGGTTCATAACTCTGTAACTCCACTCTCAGGTGTGCTAAAATCGGCAGTCCCATTGGTCACATTTGAAGACCGCGGCCCAGACTCTGCACTACACTTCTTGTGTCACCATGGAGACCCCAGCAAGCCCAGGTTAGCTGACTCATCACAGTTTGGATGAGGACACAATAAAGCCATTTTATTTTTACAATTTTACACTACAACTGGTTTTCTAGATAAGTCTGGGTTGGTTAGTTAGTGATTAGTGCATTTATTTTAGCATTTTTTCAAACATTGGTTTTTAAATTTTCAGTCCAGGTAAGTCTACATCAACAGCTCAAATCTGTGATAAGAATAAATGTAGAATAGACTTTCTAAAATCCTTATTGTTGTTTGATTTTGCACTTCAGAAACAAGTTATAGTAAGCTATTGATATATATTGTTGTGTTAAAATCCAAGCAGTGTGCAGTACAGTAAGATTGTGCACCTATACAAAGAAAACTGCCTGTTAGTGAGCATTTAATCTGCAAATCTTTGATAGACTGTCGAGTTGTGCGTCTCTCAGCTTCATGTGCTTGTAACACCAGGTACGACCACCTTGTGGCAATAGAGCGCAGTGGACGGGCTGGAGATGGAAACTACTACAACATGAGAGGAGTGAACATCAAACATCTGGTGGATCCTATTGATGACTTGTTTATTGCTGCCAAGGATATACGAGGAATTACTACTACAGGTAGTATAGTGTAGCCATAATGCATCAGCCATGTGGATATTTTATACAGCCTGACCCAGTAGAGCTGTGAATTATTCAAATCTTTTCTAATCAGTTGCAATACTGCAGCTCATAAACTGACTCGTGAGAAGAAAGTATGTAACCAGATTACAGTTACATTTAGACTATTAACAGGATTACAATTTTAAAATACATTTAAATATAAAGAACAAGTGCGTACACATTACAACATGAGTTTCACAACACCACCCTGGTCTCCAGTGTGAAACCATAGCTAATCTTACAGCCTCCAGTGAACAAAATGCTTTCACTTTTTCATTGGATTACATTTTTAAAGAAATCCTACCAACCCTGTTTCCTTAAAGGACCAGTGTGTAGGGTTAAATATTTTCTAGAGGTGCAGTTTCTGATAGCAACTCCCTCGCTTCACCCTCCCCTTTCAAGCGGAATGGCCGCAGAACACACAAAATAAACGAACAGCCATATCTAGAGCCAGTGTTTAGTTTGTCCCTTATGGGCAACTGTAGAAACATGGCGACCTCCACCAATGGCGACCTGTAGGGTCACTCACTGTAGATAAAAAACTGTTAATTCTAAGGTAACAAAAACACAAAGATTCTTATTTACAGGTGATCATAGATTGATGAAAACCTATTTATGCATATTATATTCCATTTCTGCCAGTAAATCTTAATAAATGTTACTCACCAGACCTTTAACAATATTATTTATGAATATAACAAATGAAATAGGATCTATGGGGGACACCCTTGGAAATGTCTAAACAGTCTTAAGACCATCTGTAAAAACACATTGTGTGTGCTCTGTAGATAATTCCTGAACCAATTTATAGCTGTGGCCCATATGCTATTATCACTTATTTAGCACTTATTTAGCACTATTTAGCACTATTTAGCACCAGCTCATGGTCTACACAGTCAAATACATTTAACAGATCAACAAATAAGCTGGTGTTGCTTTGTGTGCAGGGAATTGACAATATAATTTAATACCATCTGTAACAGTGCTGTGCTCTGGAGCACTACTGCACATGTGATGCATGAAATGAGCATGTCTGCTGCTCACCATACTCTTCAGCGGATGTTCTCTCTCTCTCTCTCTCTCTCTCTCTGTAGGAATCGGTGATGGTGGTAATGAGTTAGGAATGGGTAAAGTGAAGGAAAGGGTGAAGACCCTGATGCCCAATGGGAGTCTCGTAGCATGTGATGTTCCTGCTGACTACGCCATCACTGCTGGTACGGACTGGGTCATTATACTAGCTGTACAAAGCAAACATTATACTGTTATGGCTGCATACATACTGCACAGAAATGCTTTTAACACGTCACTGTTGATTACTCCTGCAGGTATGGATACATACTAAATGCACACAGAATACAGTTTATCAGACACACACACACACACACACACACTCTGTGTTTAGTCTGAGACAGCCCTCGTCAAGGTCAAAGACCAAAAAGAAGGAAAGAAGGTTCCTCAGAGGAGTAACTATGCCATCTGTACATGCTAATCTGTACATGCTAATATTTGATCTGTACATACAGGGAAGTGAAACAAACAAAATGAAATAATGAGGAAATAACATATTCAGCTGTCTGTGTCACTGATGAATTTCTAGATACACACAAGTGAGGGGAACTAGTAGCAATGTGTGTGTGGGAACATTTAAGTCCATATCTGACCTGAGTTTGTCTGTTGAGTGCGTCATTTCACTCCACCCAGACTGGCAGTGTTCTGACATCTGATATCATTACTGGATGTTGTCAATACATTTCCTGCTTTTAGAGTTATTTAAAGAAATACAGGTTTGGACTCATTCACATATTTCCATTGGTTAATGACCATAATAATTTCTCATTCAAATCCCACCCTCACCCACATCCCTTCCTCCTGCAGGAGTGTCTAACTGGGGAGGATATGCTGTGGCCTGTGGGCTCTACCTGCTCCACACCTGCCCCTCCCACCAGCGCTACCTGAAGAAGGGACTGGGACTGGAACACGCAACCCGTCCTGAACAGCTACAGGAGTGGACTGCTAACCTGCCATCTGTAGCCAAGGTGACAAACACACACACCTCTCTGAATATTCTCTACATCTCAAAAACAGGATGTGAGAAAGCAAAGAAATATTCAAGATGGAGGTTATGTGGTTTTTTTTTTTTCATTTAGTTATTTTGTTACATCAAAAACATTTCAGTTTCATTTACAAGGAGTTTCAGTCTCCGGTCTGAATAATTCAGCGTGAAAATATGTATAAAATAAAAATACATTTAAATAACACTAAACAATCATTTCAAATATTGTATATGTATATGTCCACCTTACATACATAATCCAATATACACAGACAAATATCCATATTATTTATTTAAAATCTATTATTTATTAGTAGTATCACCTTAGGTCCAGTTCCTTACCAAGTATATGATCCTTCAATCATCATCTGGACGATGACAGACAGATTGGATGGATAACCAATCTGTCATGTTCGCTATGATCCACTAAAGAATATCAGTGCACACAAATGGTCTAAGCCTGGTCCACACAGGTTTGTAAGACACCACAAACTAATAAAAACTGATTCAAAATACAAGTTACATAATCAGATGTCCAAGCCTAAACAAAATTCAGGTCCATCTATATAGTTTTTATATACAAAAAACAGGATAAAGACTAAATAAATAATGTTGTCATTTCCTAGTAACTAACAGTTGCAACAATATTTTTGGATCTAATGTTTAATGTGAAAAGTGTCTCCCAAATTGACAAACCCTCTGAAAATGATCACCTAACTGCAAAGTGTTTCAGCCCGACATCAGACAGACATGGGCATAGTGGAGCATTTAGCAGCTAATGAGATAGATTTTCCTCAGGAGACCAAAAAGAGAGCTAAAAGGAGAGTAGATAGCAGACATCTGCCAGGTGTTCTACAATGGAATTATCTGTCTACTGGATGTGGCAACAGGCCACTGTTAGCTAACACATTCACCACAAAGACTAAATTTGTTCCTTTCAAATGGCCAAAAATAATCAAAGACTGCAGCTTAAAGACAGATTTCAGAATTCAATTTTAGAACTGTATACCTCTTGCACATAGCACTGCCATTAACACACTCTCTCTCTCTCCTCCAGGAGGAGTCCATCCTTTCCACTCTGATGAGTTGTGGGATAAGAAGCGGGAAAACCGGTCACCTGGCCATGGAGGTGGATGGTTTGACCTTTCACCCCACGCACTCCGACATCATCACTAGACTACTGAAGGTCACACTGGGCGCCACCACTCCAAACCTGTGATCAACTCAAGCCGTCTGTTCTCTGCAGTATTTTTAAAAGAGGCACAGCTCAAGTGAAGCTAGGTGAATTATCTGTGAGACTGAGGCCATAGAAAACCTGAGAATGAAACACACTGAGGCAATCAATGTGCCAATCGCTGAAATTCTGTTTCCTCTCTATTCAAATTGCAGACAGGGAAAAAAGAGAATGAAAGGAGAGCTGTGTGAGATGCTGCCTTGGTTACCTTTCAGCCCTCTTCCTTGGCTACCAGTGACAAAGCAAAGTAGAGTCAAGTAAAAGCAGCTCTCTTTTCTCTCACCCTCTCTCCGTCCATCTCACTAATACTTACTAAAGTAATATACCTTAAAGAACAGAAGATGATTGTATTGTTGCTGACAGTAATTCATGTTAATGGTTAATGGTTAAAGCACAGATTTGTCCCTGAAATGGGCTCCATGACATTTGAACATCACCAGGTGCTGGTAGAAGTTGGTTGGTCAATGCTAATGTGGCACCAAGGCAGTCGCAGTGACGTTGCTAGGGATTTAGTGTTGAACAGTTATATATGCAGTTTCATTCTTGCTCCTTGGAGCTCATCTGGCCATTGCATTTGCTTGAGATAGACGCCAACTAAGATATCAACACTAATCCTTCCTACACCTTATACCCTGTTGACCCCTGGCACCAACATGCGACTATTGGGGAAACTCCAACACTTGCCTGACCAATGGTGTAATGTCACCAGTAAGTCAGGGACAGACTGTGTTTAGTGGGCTGGCCCCAGTCTACTGAAGTCTTCCCAACAAGAACAAAAGACACACATCCCTGTCTATTATTAAAGATGTGCAGAACGAACAGATCTAAGATGTTAGCATGCATGATAGCTAACCTCCGGCTGCTTTTCAAAGAGTTCCTCTGTACTTTCAAAACACATCTTGATATTGAGGCATATTTTAGATAGCTAATGATGTGGAAGTCCTGTGGGATGCAGAGACAGAGGAACTGAGCACATTCCACAGGCTGCTTAACAAGTTGGATGCTAACTTAAAATGCACATTATGTGGCCTTGATCTCCAGATGTATAAATCTGTCAATGCATGCAGAAGCAAAAGAGACAAACACTCTGGATGACTCGAATACTTTTTTGCCGTCTACTTGGGTTCACCACTTTATATTTTGAGTCGTTCCTTTTAAATACCTTTTACTGCTTGTAATGCAGTAAATAGATGTGTTTTAGTTTGGTCATTTGAATTTATGAAGGATTGTCCACAATGCCTCAAACTGTTTATGTATTCACTGCTTAGCACAAACCTCATCAATAGGCTATTGTTAATGTTAATTTAAATTCAAGGGGTGTGAAATATTGCTATTCAGGACTGTATGAGAGGTTGACTCTCAGAGACTACGGTTAACACTGGCTGAGCAGTCAGGAACAATTAGACACCAGAAGGATCCAATGTATTCAACTGTAGTTTATTGTAGACACAGTCGGGGGGGTTAGGGTTAGGGTTAGTCAATGCTAGTTTTATATCTAAACAGGACATGTGTGCCAGGTATTCATTAAACTAACGAACAATTTAATGTATCAGGAGTAATTATCTGGCTTTTATGTAACTAGCAAAAGCATAAAGATACTGCAAACAAGTGTAGAAAAAAACTCACATTTCTGCTCAAACTATTTCTGCCAGCAGAGAGCTCAGGGTTCAGCTGCAGGTACAGCAACAAGGCTCTCACCAGAACTCAATCCAATATATTATATTCTCTGATCTAACCAGGCTTCTCCTACTTCCTGCAGCTGTTCAGTTAACTCCTCCTCCAAATGTGCCGGAAAACTTGATGGATGTTATGATGGATATTAGCAAAAAAAAAAACTTTTTTTTTTCTTACTGAAATGATCATATTTGATAAATATTTGATGTTACTAATAAAAAATGAATGTGATACACCTTACAAAATGATATACTTCTTACCAAAGCTCCACCCAGTCCAAGGGTCTGTTTATGTAGTCAGACATTCAGTCATTGTTGAATATTGTTGTAAAATAAATAATATTAAAAAATAATTATTTTGTACAGATTATACCATATTTTAGATTGAGAATATAATAATGCCACTAATCTGAAGCCTTTTTTGTGTTTTTTTCCGCACTTTTATAGCAGTTGAGCTGGATTCCGACTGGTGCCTTTATTAGTGAATGATGGAAATGTTTTCCTTGTTAAATGAAAAATGAAACTATGTTTTCATGAAACTTTGTTTATCTGATATAAGCAGGTGAATAAACTTTCTCAACAAGACAGTGACCTAACAGTTGTCTGTATGTATGCACAAAAATGTGGGACCCTATATTGAGCCGTGGGTAACTCCCTCACTTTTACTAGTAACAGTGAGGTTATACAATGTCATACCTTATAAACTAATTTTTCCAGAATTTGGGTGGTATATTTATACCTGCAAACATGAATCATTTCTCCAAGAGTTACATTGATTATATGTGCTTCACAACTAATCCAGTTTGACAACATTGATCTGACCTGTCCTTTCCAATTAATTTCCTCGTGTCATTGGTATCAACAGGAGGTTCAGTCTGTAATAAACACTCAGCTGCCCAACTGAGGTTAGGGTTCAGTGAGAAGAGTCCTCACGACTGCTTTTTATTCCAGCTGGTTATTTTAAGATGTCACTTGCAGGAAATAACTATGGTTTCCATGAGCAGGAAAAGATATATCTTTGTCAGTCATATGATCATATTCTGGGTTAGCACAAGAATTACATCCGTGGAGTTCATGCACAGCAATATTCTCATTTGGCTTCAGTCATTTTATTTCCACCCTGCCTGAAGGGGGAAATGGATTTCATGATTTTCTTGGCTTGCATTCACATTTCTTTTTTGACTGAAGTAATGTTAATACCAAGAAAATTGCAGACCGTCACATTCATAGGGAATCAGGTAGTGGGCAAATGGTAATAATGTGTGAGAAAAACATGGAATGCACACACAGCCTTTTAAGAAACAAGCAAAATATTCTTAAACATAATAACATTTCCTTTTATTGAGCTGGGGTAAGACTTGGCTAGAATTCTTAAAACATAAGCATAAACATCTAGTCACTGAAAGACCGTAATGGGCCTTAAAGCTAATGGATCTGTAATGAAGTAATGAACTCCTCCAGTGATGTTTCTTCGTCAGCTGGTGGGCAGCAGTTATATTTATACCGCAGTTTTCTCACAAAGCTAAGGATTGACTCATTGGCAAATCTTTGTATAAGAAATGCCCCCCCCCCCACACACACCAGGATAAGTTGGAAGAGGGACATTTAGCCTCTAATTTGGACAGTGTGCTAGTTGTTTTAGATTTTAGCTCTTCTACATTTTTAAAGTAACCCTCTCGACCCTGTGTGCATCATCAGAGGGTTCATGAAGAGGAAAAAACTGAGGCTCAACTATCACTCAACATTTTTTATTTTAATAAGTGATTCCACTTCCCTTCGTGATGTTCCTTCTAACCCCTCTGTATTTTACAAATGCAATAAATGACAAAGGGAGAACGAGTAGCTTTCTTGCCCTTGATGCCAAATTGATTCATTTAAATGATGTTTTATAACTAGGTTCAGGAACAGAGACCTGCAATCATCTCATTTCCGCTCAAAACTTACTCAAGCACACCTTATCCGTTCACTCCCTCCTTGACTCATTTTCCACATCCCTCCCACCCAAGCCCTTTCTTTTTCTCTCCCTCACTTATCCAAATACAGGAACAGCTGGGGCTCTCTACAAGAGATACGGAGAGACAGCTCCCCCACTCAGAGTCTCGCAACCCGCTCAGTTCCCTCTTACATCGCGCCAAACCCCCCAACCGACCTTCATTCCTCCGACCCTCATTCCTCCGACCTTCATTCCTCGACCCTACCTCCATCTCTCATCACTTCATCCCTCATCCCTCATCCCTCAGTATACCACATCGGTTCACATTTGTTCATTATGTGCAATAAACCTTTCTTATTTCATACATTCGATGGCGTGGTCGTTGTTAGTGAATACAATATAATCTACAGACGCATACTGCTGCCACACCAGGAAAAGAAACATAGAGCTGGCATTATAAAGGGATGTTCTTATTTTATTATGACAAACAAACTCATCACGCCATAACAGGAAACTTTTCTTGTTACAACAATGTACTATTTATCTTGTCAAAAATGTAGTCAGTAACCTGATCCAAGTATCATAATATCAAAGTATTAGTACGTAACTTGATTACGTTGCATTACTTTTGGATTACCTCAACACCAAATATGCAAATAAAAAGGAGGAGAAAAATGTCAATAAGAAGTATTGATGCAAGTATATCAGACCAATGAGAAGAACAATGTTATCTTTGAAAAGAAAATGGAAAGATTTTTAGCATCAGACTGATGTTACTTTGTTATTATGTGATATCTACGTGAAAATGTTACAGCCATACCTCATACTGGTATAACGTTAAACTTTTTGGTTTATTTTAACATGAAACATTTTGTTTTATAACAATAAGTCAACACCTTTGAATGTGAAACATTAACATTCTAACAATATTAATAATACATTGTCATAATATTTGTATGTCGTAGTAACATGAAAAACATTTTATAATAATAAAGTTTTTACATTATAACGGGATACAGGTCTCTTTTTCCTTTTCTAGTATGGCAGCAATACACTGCTGTAATAATCCAATATAATGAGGTCCATTTAGTCATTTCTCAAACACTGGAAACATCAACTGCATCACTCCCAGCTTGAATGGATTACGAATTTACTGAAAAAGGAATTTGGTAAATATTTTATAATGTAAAGACAAAAGAATGGGACCAAGTTGCAAAACACGTCTCCTCTCTGCTTCTGTTCTGTCATTCTGTTCTTCTCATCTCCTTCTCAACTGTGACCTCTGACCCCAGCACGACCCCAAGTTTAATGTGACTTCCTGCTGGACGACAGCAGCAGCCAGAAGCAGCTGATACTGCCAAGATTAATACACACACATTCACATCTGCCTCCGCATAACACACACACTCATCCTGTTCACACATACACACACACACACACACACACACACACTTGAAGTCCTTTTTCTGTCTGGACTCTTTGAGTAGACACACACACACACACACACACACACACACACACACACACACACACACACACACATCATAAGTGCCTCCAGAGGAAGGATTCTGTTACGAAAACAAATACAGTGACACACTGAGAACACTTTGGTTTCACACACAGTCATTTTCATTTTCAGCTCCAGATTCACCTGACAACTGTATTTATTAATCTCCAAAACCAATAAACACTAATATATCACATCCAGCCAACCATAATATCACTTCACTCTACTGAAAGAACCAGATTCCCTTGTAAGGAAAGTCAAACTCAGAACTTAAAGGTCCAGTGTGAAACATTCAGAAATGGAATATAATATTTATAGGTATGTTTTCATCAGTGTATAATCACCTGAAAATAATATTCGCCCTTTTGTTACCTTACAATGAGCCGTTTTTATCTTTTTCTCTTCTACAGAATCGTCATGTTGAACCACCATGTTACTACAGTAGCCTAGAAGGGACGAACCAAACACTGGCTGTAGACAGGGCCGTTGTTGAGCTGTATTCAGTTGGTTTCAATCTGCAACTTCACCCATATGCCACTAAATATTACACCCTAGTTCTTTCAGTTCACTCATCTTTGTTCTAAGAGGAAGTACATTGTCCAAAATCATCTTTTCAAAAGAAGATAAACGTTTAAACTGTTTGTAAATTTGTAACATGTGACCCACTGGTTCTCAAACTATGGTACATGTTCCATTTATAGGATCTCTGAAATATTAAAAAATATATATATAATTTATTTTTATTAAAACATATACTACTATCAAATTACTACAGAATTTTAAGGTGCCTGGTAGCTCACCTGGAAGAGCACATGTACAAAGATTGAGTCCTTGCTGTAGCAGGTATGAGTTCGACTCTGTGGCCCTCTACTGTGTGTCATCCCCTCTCTCTCTCTCTGCCCTCTCTATCTATCTCAAGCTGTCCTGTCAAATAAAGGCCCAACAATAAGCCCCCCAAAAAGTATATATATATAAATGTTTAGTTCACTCCCTTTCTGTTTTGTTTTTAATGTAATAAAAGTGTCAACACTAGTATCCTGAATATATTTTGGTCGTGTGGTTTACTTTGGTTTGTTCTGCGCCGACTGCTGCAATGTTAGGCCACGATGAAATAACTGTCAGCTGAATAAATGATCACCAAAGCAGACAACACAGATGTATAAATAAACTCTACATTCGCTGCAGCCACAAATACACATGCTAAAGTGAAGAGAGCGCCTCTTCACCCACAACAATATGTTGCTAGGCAACGCAGTGGTTATTTGTACTCACCTGTCTGAACGTTGACAGGTGACTGTAACCAGACTGTAAGCAGTCCACTCAGCCCCTCTGTCCCACTGTAACCAGTCCCCTCATCCTCTGTCCCACTGTAACCAGTCCACCCATCCTCTGTCCCACTGTAACCAGTCCCCTCATCCTCTGTCCCACTGTAACCAGTCCCCTCATCCTCTGTCTCACTGTAACCAGTCCACCCATCCACTGTAACCAGTCCCCTCATCCTCTGTCCCACTGTAACCGGTCCACCCATCCACTGTAACCGGTCCACCCATCCTCTGTCCCACTGTAACCAGTCCCCTCATCCTCTGTCCCACTGTAACCAGTCCACTCATAGTCTCTGTCCCACTGTAACCCGTCCACTCATAGCCTCTGTCCCACTGTAACCAGTCCCCTCATCCTCTGTCCCACTGTAAGCAGTCCACTCATCCTCTGTCCCACTGTAACCAGTCCACCCATCCTCTGTCCCACTGTAACCAGTCCCCTCATCCTCTGTCCCACTGTAACCAGTCCACTCATCCTCTGTCCCACTGTAACCAGTCCACTCAGCCCCTCTGTCTCACTGTAACCAGTCCCCTCATCCTCTGTCCCACTGTAACCAGTCCACCCATAGCCTCTGTCCCACTGTAACCAGTCCACTCATAGTCTCTGTCCCACTGTAACCAGTCCACTCATAGTCTCTGCCCCACTGTAACCAGTCCACTCATCCTCTGTCCCACTGTAACCAGTCCACCCATCCTCTGCCCCACTGTAACCAGTCCACTCAACCCCTCTGTCCCACTGTAACCAGTCCACTCAGCCCCTCTGTCCCACTGTAACCAGTCCACTCAGCCCCTCTGTCCCACTGTAACCAGTCCACCCATCCTCTGTCCCACTGTAAAAAGTCCACTCAGCCCCTGTGTGCATTAAATCAGTGACAGATTAAGGTACACGCAACCTTTTTTGAAACTACAGTTACAATAATGCAAAACTTAACCCATTACGTCCTTTCATTTTTGTGGATTGTTGTTGTTCAGACCACACTCCTGACCCCCTGACACTAGGCCAGTGAATGCTGACAGGATGTGAACTACAGGGGAGCCAGGGGGAGCTGGGCTCCTCAAGACATGATTTGTGAAATTTCTAAAATATTATAAACAAATATACATATAAGTAAATATATATGTATCATCACATCTTTGTTATTATGGATAATACGTAAACTTGGGCTATTATCGTGCATGAGGGTGATTCATCACTAATTCACTTTAATAAAGATACTACTATTCTTGCCATTACCATTGAAGCATGCCTGCACAATATCATCAACTTCAGAAAATATACATAAAATAAACTTTCCTAGTCCTATTCAGTCTGCACGCTGTATCGCCTTTTGTCATTTCCCACCCAAAAAAAAGTGAGCTCCCCCGAAAGCCATGGCATACATGCTGAATGCATGTATGTTTTCCAGAATGTCAGCCAAGTGTCTCCTCTCTGGAGCTTTCTGCACTCTAAAAAGAGTAATTCACTGGATATATTGTCACCACTTATAAATGCATGGTTGCAAGATAAAACTTTACATTTTTTGATTTAGATAAAACTTATAAGTTACAATCATTATTTTGATGAGATGTGTTGACATAAATAATGTGGAAAACTAGTTAGAACAAGTTATTTTTTATGAGTAGCCTAATCAACATCAAAAACCTGTGCTGTTGTGATGTTTATTGTTAAGTAGGTGGAAATTAAAAACACCTTTGATTGTAGAGGAAAAGCTAATTTCCCTAACTCAATTACATTTGTTGTACATCATTTCATTAAAAGTTGCCATAATTCAAAAAGATAGATGCAAACAGTTTTTAGAGTGTGGAGCTCTCTGCAGCTCTGCTCTCGTGCAGCCACAAACACTGCAGCAGCTTCTTCTCTGCTGCAGTTGCTGATTTGGCTCCTTTCTTGTTTCATTCTAACAGTTTCAGGACTTTTTCATGTGAACTTGTTTTTACTCTGTCAATGCTCAGTCTGTCTGCTATTTGATGCTGAGCAGATAGTGTAAAGTAAGTTGTCTTAGAGCTGCCTGCTGCTACTGCTGGAAATGAGTGTGGTGAGAGTAACTGTATTAAAGGTGAAGTAAGTGTTGTTTTTTTTTTGTGTTTACATAGCACTACATACTGACAGAAATCACTGATACAGAGCGTTCAGTCAGTAACGTGGGTCTCCCAGTCCCCCCTTTCTGCAGGAAACAGAGAAAACATTGTCTGCTATCCCGTTCCAACTTTATCCTATCAGAAGAGAAAACTCCACAGAGATGCGGTCTTCAAGGGCAGGCAGCAGAATGTCAGGGTGGTGATGTGGGGAGGAAGGAGTGGACTGCTAACTGCAAGAACGGACAGGAAGTTAGCCAAAAGCATCAGCATCTTATATAAAGATATATATTTGACAGCAATTAGGAGAAAGGAGTACTAGCTTGAAATGGGACAAGGGAAAATTCTTACATGCTGGTGGCACTACATGAAAGTCTTACGATCACCCAAATACTTTTCTCTCTAGGGACCATGAATATCTGCTCAAAATGTCATGGAAATCCATCCACTAGCCTGATTGCAGAGATTTTCCACTGCTGACCAAAGTACCTGACTGATAGCTCTAGAGCCGTGAACACAGAGAGACGAGGACACGTAGACAAAGCAGAGGCTGTCACCAAAAGAACACACCGCACAGACAACTCCCTACATAATCAGGAAGGCCTGAATCGATGAGTCTGCTGCATCATTACACTCGTCAGAAGACCAAGAAAGAGTTTCCTTTGTTAACGCTGCCAGCGTCACAGAGGGAAGTCTGAGGTCAGACTGAAACCACACAGACGCACACAAATGAAAAGCTGTCCTTTTTAGTATAGAGTTTCAGAGTTTTATAAAAATATTCTTTATCACATTCATCACTGTGAAGATATGTAATTTGAACATTTATCATTATGACAAGATACTTTGACCATGGTATCATATCTCTGTAACAATTAAATCTTCCACCATAAAGTCATAGTTGATATTTTGGACCCAAAAGTTACACATACATATAATTTAACATACTTTTATAACATTTAAAGTAATGGTATATTTCCATAGAAGATACAGCTTTCAATATGTCATCACTGTGGAGCAAGTTTTTGTTGAGGTTCTTTAACAAATTAAGTTCTGAACTTAATATACTTCCAAACAAAAGTTTTGACAATATGCCAGATCTATAATGATGCAAATTGTGAGCATAATGTCCAATAATAGACAGACTTACAAATTCAACAATATAAAATTATGACCATGACAACAAAATAGTTCCATTCCCATGCAAACAGCCACGTGTAAACATTAGACATTGTTTCCCTTATAGCACAGAAGCAGACCTGGACAGATGCATGCCAGTCACCCAAAGCCATTTGCTTACAAAATAGAATCATTTCTTTAAAAAAAAAAAATTTCAAAAATATTGAACCTTAAATAGTAACAGTTTTTAAAACAAATGTAAGTCTTCAAAGTTGAAGTTACGGTCAAAGTTGTGAAACAAGCAAAGAGGGAAGGACAATCCGGTCACATGATTATGACCACTGAATTTACAGTAATTAAGAAATTACAGTTTAAAGCAAAACTGCATAATAAAAAAAAAACCTTCCTCTTACAATTAAATTAAATTTGTTACATGATGCTGAACAAAACACTGTAGAAAGTTGGTAGTTGGTTGATATTCATATTCTAAATGTTCAGTCCCTACCTAGCAGCCCATAAATATAAGTATTCAACCCTCTAACTCAGCACATTGTGTTCATGCACTGATCAAAACAATTAGCTACCATGCACTCAGGATGTGCTCCTATAGTTTCATTTTAATTCAAGTAACGTTTTAGGTTTGTTCTGATACTGAATTATCTTTATCACACAGGGTCAAACTATTGTTATGGTCTTGCAGTCATTTTTTAAACCAAAAAATAAACTGATTTCTATCTTAATTAAAGGGTTTCTTCCTACAGTTACATCATGATAAATATTAGTAACGGTACAATTAGAAGACTTAAATGTCATGTCCTGTCAAGTTACCTATTAATGTTGTATTTGATCTTCGTTTGGTTTGATTAATAAATAATTTTATTTAGAGATTAGATGGCCCAGTAAACTTATGGTCAAATATGGATTAACACCAGTCAAGAACTAACTTGCGACAACTGAAAGTAAAACATTTAAAGAAGTACTAAAATATAAACTGAATTATATGACTGTACTGTGATCATCATCAATGCTGCTGTCAATATTGACATTCTTACCAAACTAATGAATATTAGAATTTCATGGGTAGAAAATAGCTCAACATGTTTTAAATCACCCTGAACCTCGCAAGGCCAATACTGACACAGAGTTGACCATTTGGGACTACTCCACGCCATGACATTTTCACCGGCCCCAGCCTCTGAGTGGGAGTCTGTGAAACTGTACAGCGATATCACTGTCATAGTAAAAAAAGCGGCTGAAACACCTCCTGTGCCTTTTTTAAATTTTGTTTTGTTGCCTCTGTAACTGTATAATTTAATGTTGATTCTGTTGTTGTTGTGTCTGCTAACTGCATGGTCACGCATATGCACGGGTATCAGGGACTCCCAGGTTATTCTACCACACCCTCCTTCAGGTCTTTATTTTAGTTTATTCGCACTGGTGTAACTTCATAAAGGCACACCAGATTTTCTCTATGATTTCCCCCACAATATGATTTTAGGCTACACTAATGTTGTTGACTTAAACATTGTTGTTTATAATGGCTTACAACTAATCTATAAAACCTGAGGGTGACCGGGGATCTTTCTGTGTGGACTTCCTCCAGGTGCCCACAGTCCAAAGACATGCAGGTTAACTGTTTACTCTAAATACGGTTTCCATAGGTGTGAGTGTGTTGTGTGTCAGCCTTGTGATGAACTGCTGACCTGTCAAGGGTACACCTCGCCTCTTACCCAGTGCCAGCTGGGATCAGCTCCAGCCCCCACACGACCCTGCCATGACCCTTTATAAAGGGTACCTCATTAGAAAGCGGTACTGTACTATTGTTTAAAGGAATTCTGGCAGGTTCCCCTCCAAGGATTTGGTACCTGAGTGCACTATTAATTACAGTCACTATAACCTCCCGATGCATTAGGACCTTTTGTCAATCTCGAACTGCCAGAGAAAAACCAGAGAAATGTAAACAGGGCATTTACAGTGATGAGCTCTCACATGGTGTCAGCTGCTGGACCAGAGCTCAGTGTAATCACTTGAGAAAGAAGACAATGTTTTTAGTCCAATGCCAATGGATGATGAAGATGTAAACACAGCTGGGTTGGGCAGCCAGCTCTCATTAGGGCCACTGCTGCATTGGAGCCCTACAGGCAGGTTGGTTGTGGTTGCTCTCTTGTGCATTCTCCACTCACTCTTAGTTCAGCTTAGACTGGTAATGAGTCCTCTTAATCCCACTCCTCTGAGACCTCTACTTGCATGGTTCCTGATTGGTTCCTTGTCATTTTAGCTGATGTTTTTGTCGGCCTCTTCAGTCCTCTCTGTCTTTTGGCTCTGCTCCTCCATTGCTATCACACAGCTGGGCTTCCCATCGCTGTCCACACATTTGTCAGTGTGTTTGTTATTTTGTACAATTAAGGGTGTGATAGTTTTCTCATCGGTCTGTGTGATTAAAATTGTGTTTTTCTTGTCTCTTTTTAAGCTGTTGAACGTGTTGGTGTGTGTGAGCAGCATCACGGTTGGCTGACCGTTGTTTTCATCGGTGGCCACCTCGTGGGAGTCAGTGGCTGGGTTGCCTGGGCTGGCGTTGCCACGTCGACAGCAACAGCATAGTATCCTGGTAGCAGGCCGGAATATGGCTCTGTACAGGCCGCGGCGGGCACTTTCACTTACGAAGCAGTAGAGAGCCGGGTCAGCCACGCAGTTCAGGCTGGTTAGCAACAACGACAGGTGGTAGTAGTTAAATATTCCTGGAAAATAAGAATACAGAGCACATGGTTAAGACAGCAAAAGATTTCATTATAGTTTGACAACCCCGCCTCTTTCTCCTACTGGCTGGCTGCTGGTGTCTTTGACAGTGTTTTGTTTTGCAGGTGCCTAGTGGGTCTGGACCAAGTCTGAACCTATCATGACGTCACCCATTGGTTTGTGGAGTACCGTTTTGAAGCCTCGAGCTTGGCATTTTGGCCGCAGCCATGACAGTAAAACAGATCCAGCGCGAGCCAGCGGATGTGACGTACTGCATAGTTTTGACTTGTCCGTGAGACTCACTGAAAGTGACCTGTCAATGTCAATGACCCCCAAAAAGCATACGCAACTTTATCATCTATTTTACCCTAAATGGTATATCATTTACTAAATGAGCATCATAATGTATTGAAGATGATGTTAAACTAGCAACTGAGACCCTAAACTCATCAGGTAACTGTAAACTCAAAAATTAAGTGTCAAGTCGGCTCATTCTCCATTAAAGTGGATCGCTGTGTTACTGCAGCCAATGGAGCTCCCCCTGCCAGAAATTACATAGAATGCAGCATTTATGACACTTCCGCGTTGGCTTCACTTTTCAGACCCGAAAGCTCTGTCCATTATATAAACTGTCAATGGTCTGGACGTTGTTAGTTGGAACACACAATAACAATAATCCTGGACGAGCCAGATATCACTGGATTACTTTGTAGAAAATAAACTGTACCTGCAATAAAGTTGCAGTCTCGCTCCAGCAGGGTGCGTACCAACAGGAAGACATGGTAGGGGGAGAAGCAGACAAGAAAGATGAGGATGGTGCTGCTGACCAACTGCCTAATCCTCATCTTCTGATCCGGCTGTGTCCCAGCGCTCCGACCCACGGCACGAAGGACGCACAGGTAGCTGATCTGGACAGAAAAACATGTATTGGGATTAGATAACTAACTGGACTTCATATTTCTATTGAATATTTCTTCTTCCTCTCTGAAAAACCTCTATATCACATTTTGAACTGACAACACATTTACATGTCTGAAGATAGTAATGGAGGTTTGTATGGTCAAGGTAGAATATACAAAGCAAAAATAAGATAATTTGTTAATTCATCATACAAGGTTGTAGATTATCTTAGATATAAGAAATTTGGTGCAAGACATTAGGATGTAAATTCTGTATGTCTCCTCTTTTAGCTATCACTTTTCACAAGATCACTATGTTGAAGGGAGATGTTGTGCAGTATAGCAACGTGTAGCCTAACTTTTGCCAAACAACTGCCAATGTCGCCTTACACTGATCAGCCATAGCATTCTGACCACCTGAGCACCCTGTGGTCAGAATGTTATGCAGCCCCATACCAACAAACTGCTGTGCACCTTTCTATCAGAACCAGCATTAACGGTTTCAGCAGTTTGAGCTACAGTAGCTCGTCTGTTGGATCGGACCACACGGGCCAGTCTTCACTCCCCACGTGCATCAGTTAGCCTTGGCCCCCCTTGACCCTGTCTCCGGTTATTTTCCTTCCTTGTAACACTTTTGATAGGTACTGACCACTGCACACCGGGAACACCACCCCACAATTTTTTTATATATTTGACCTTTGTCAAAGTCGCTCAAATCCTCACGCTGCCCATTTTTCCTGCTTCTAACACATCAACTCTGATGACAAAATGTTCACTTGCTGCCTAATATATCCCACCTACTGACAGGTGCCATGATAACCAGATTATCAGTGTTATTCACTTCACCTGTCAGTGGTCATAATGTCATGGCTGATTGTGGTATATTGGTATTTTCCAAAGATTCAGAGTCTGACATCCCCATTAGGTGATCTGACTGAGAGAGAAGTGAGAGTGGGACCACAAGCTGGAAATAACAAACATGTCTCCTGGTGAATAGCATTGGTTACACTTTGCAATGAAGCCACTGAAATATTACAGTAGTAAAAGTAGAAAAGAGTCACAAAGTATATTTGTTCAAAATATTTTCAATACAATGTGATCAATAATAGATCAGTAAAACATTCCCACCGATAGAATGGCCAGCGGGAACATGAAGCCAATAGTGAAGCGGTAGTAGTTGATGGGATACTCCCATGGCTTCATGGGGTAGTGCTCGAAGCACACTGATTGGTTCTTGCGGTCTTGGCTGAGTTCTTTATGGCGGAAGAAAACCACGCCCACAGCAATCTCTTTTAGCCAGATGATGGCGCTAACAATCCACGCTGCACTCATAGAGCGGAGAGACGTGAACCTAGAGACAACCCCCCCAGAGAGAATAGGTCATTAGCATTAAATCAGATCTATTTATAGATTCATATTGATGAAACTACCTAAGGACTGAGGAACAGTTGTGGAAGTTGAAGTAGCTTATGGTAACAGTTGTGGTGACGTACTTTTAGCATCTTTGTCATGCCGAATGAAAATTACCTTAAAGGATGGACCACAGCCAGGTAGCGGTCCAGACTGATACAGCACAGGAAACCAATGCTGATATAAATGTTCTCATAGAGCAGGAAGCCACAAAGCTGACACAGCCACTCCCTGTGACTCCAGTCGTCATCCTAAAACAACCACACACACAAATTCATATTTTAGGTAAGTGACACATGGACAAAAGCAGATGAAACCGGACTCTAAATTAAAATGAAAGGTACAATTAGACTAACAGCACATTTTATAATGAAAAACAACACAAATTTACCAAATGAGGATTAATGGGAGACTGCTGTAAATCACCAAAACATATTTCTTATTCAGAAATTCACTGGTTTTGGAGCAGCATCAGTGCCACTTATAGGACAACATAATAAGTGCATATGGACCGAGCGAAGATTTTGTCCTCAAGTTGATGTGTTAGAAGCAGTAAAAATGGGCAGTGTGAGGATTTGAGAGACTTTGAGAAGGGCCAAATTGTGATGGCTAGATGAATAGTTCAAAGCCAAACTTTTTCTGATCTGGCCATGCCAGAAAGTTTGAGAACCACTGCTATATTGCAATGTAAAATATGTTGAGCACATGATTACTTTTTGCATATAATCTAATAATTTATTAGAGTTTGTGGAAAATGTGACAAAATAGAATAATTTCTATTTTGTCACATTTTTGCTAATATCATAATGTAATGAAATCAGGTATTGCATAATATGCAAAAGAGTAAATTGTTATGTGCAATATTTTTATCAAATTATAGGCAGGTTAATATCCATCATCTATTTTTATTAAATTTTCCATTATTTAATCCACAATTATAATGTCATGGTCATTATCAGTTTGTGCAAATGAATGAATAGGAATGAAGGGATTAAAAATCAATGACTAGTTTTAGTTTACCTGAAAGAAGTACTGTAGCCACAGTGGTAATGATGCCAGGTACAACAGATCAGACACAGTGAGGTTCATTAAATAAACTCCCAGCTCATTCTTCTGCTTCAGCTGCAGAGCAGCGTGGTACAAAGAGTACAAGTTGGAGGGAACGCCAATCTAGAATCAAGAAGATCATTTATTGTGATTATTTGGATTCTCTGACACCAGTTTTTTCCCCACACTGAACCTTCTCTTCATTACTTGATTATTGAAGCACATGGTTAGAACACTCGTCTGCACTCTGCTAAGACAGCCCTATTACCAATCAGCTCTGTAAAACCCCAGATTACGTTTAATGACTACATTTTTTAAAATTTACACTTTCTACAACATCCGTGCATGGTGACTTTTTATGGTTAGGGTAATAAAACAAAGTTAATATAGTATGGTTGAAGTTAGGGGAAGATGGTTATGGCAAATAAACTATGGTAGGTTGGGCAACAAAACACTTGATTAAGGTTAGGAAAGACTGTGATTATCATAAACATTAGCTACAGGTCTCTGACAGAACACAGGCTCTTGTCTTCTATATGAAAGTAAGACTCACTTCCCACCCATCCGCCACTCCGACCTCCACACCTCACTACATAAAGGGCACACTACACGCCTTGTCACTGAGTGCTGACCTTGGACATAAATAATGAGGGACAAAGTTATCCAATATGGATATAATTCCTAAGTATACAGGGCTAGCAGAAGTGGCATTATCATGGACAGTAGATGGCAGATGGACAACCCCTTCTGGATGGCACCGGAAACAAACAGTGTAACAGAATGGCATTATGGAATATTTTGTAATATTTATGGTGATGTCATATTGTTTACAAAAAATGGAATATAATATATTTAACATAATTATTTTGTGTACATTATTTCATGTAATACATTTCATTATGTGGTGCCCCTGGCTTTGACATGTCACCTAGCCATTACAGTGCTGACACAAATAGACACATGCTATGGGAAATTAAGAGTCTCCAGTTCATTTAACCATCATGTCTTTTAACTGTAGGTGGAAATGGAAGTTCGACAGGTCTAACCCCAGGACCTTCTGTGCTACCTCATGAACTCAAAGCCAACATGTGTTCACATGGACCTCTTACTTCTTGTACTAGACATGACCTCATTGATGCAACATGAGAGAGCTATGCAATTTGCAGCTTGTTTCTTCTTCTTGTTCTGCGTCAGTGTTGCAATGTTGTGTTTTCAAGGAGGAACTAGCTTTCTAGAGCTTGAGATGTAACACTTTCCTGTGACACAATGACCTCAATTGGGGAACAAATCTTCCATTAGCTATGCATTTTATAAAGTATTCACACACCTTGACAGTTCTGTTCAGGTATTCAAGATGTACACACACTTACCAACAGTACGAGGATGTACACACAGGAGAAGAGGTACTGGTGGATTTCGTGGCTGATGGTGCAGTTCATGATTTCATCCTCAGACATGGTGAACACCATCACACCCCACTCACACTCTCGCTATTTCATCTTTAACATGCACACACTCACAGAAATGTCATGTTCACACATACACGTGACTATAATGTAACAACACAGTCACAGACACTTCTTCATGTTGGTGGCAGCACTCAGCGATGGCTCAGACTCTCATCTGGTTCATTTGTCTTCTCTGATTGGGTAGTCCAGTTTAACTTGGCCACTGCGGAACACAGAAGAATTGACTTTATTAGACATTGTAAACATTGAAGCAGTATGAAGCAATATTATTCCTTTCAGAGCCAGTGTTACCATGACACACACACACACACACACACACACACACACACACACACACACACACACACACACACACACACACACATATATATATATTAGCTAAGCTTCACTGAAACTACTCACTGTTCCGTGTGGTCAAGGCAGATAGAATCACAAGTAAAAAACATTGGCTTTCTGGTCAAACCACTACTGCATCCTTTCCCTAATCTATTTCTAATGTATCTAGCACGGCCTGTCATTACACAGTGTATTTGTATGCATGTACTGCTATTAGCATGTTCAAGAGCAATTCATGCCTAAATGGACACACAGACAACACATCTTTTTTCAAAACACTGTGACACTGTGTTGAAGTCTAGACAATATTAGGATATCAATAGCCCTTAAACAGAGGTACAATGTAAAATGGCTTTTGCTTTTCAAGGTCACAGTATGAAACATATGAAATATGTTTTTTTGGGGGGGTTTTTGGCCTTTATGCCTTTATTTGACAGAGACAGCTGAAGACAGACAGGAAAGGTGGGCAGAGAGAGAGGGGATGACACGCAGCAAAGGACCGCAGGTCGGATTCAAACCCGAGCCGCTGCAGTATATGGGTCACCAGCTCTACCGACTGAGCTAACAGGGCGCCCATGAAATATGTTTAAAAAACTACATCCTTCAGAATTGACTTTTACAGGCTAATTCAATTCAATTCAATTCAATTTTATTTGTACAGCGCCAATTCATAACAGAAGTTATCTCAGGACACTTTTCAAATAGAGCAGGTCTAGACTGAACTCCTTATAACATCATTTACAGAGACCCAACAGTACCACCATGAGCAAGACCTTGGTGACGGGGGCAAGGAAAAACTGCCTGTTAAAAGGCAGAAACCTAGGACAGATCCTTCGGCTCTAGGTGGGTGGTCGTCTGTCTCGACCATATGGGGTGAGAGAGAGAGAGAGAGAGAGAGAGAGAGAGAGAAGACAGACAGACAGACAGACAGACAGACAGACAGGTGCACAGCTTAGCTGACGCTATCTTAAGCACATTTTAATAAGTGCATTCAACCATGTGGATTCAACCCAAAAATTGCAAACTATATCAGCTTCATCAAATATGTTGAACTGCTTGCTGAGGTGCTACATACAGAAACAGCAGAGAGAAACAGATGGGCCCACAGTGCAGTCTAAAGATAAAGTGTTGAGTTTCTGCTGTTCTGATGTCAATAAGGACCTTGTACCAGCCAGGACATCAAATGATTTTCTATCTGAACCTAAGAGTTATATAATGCACAGAGCATCCCATCCATCTGTAAAGTGAAAACAACATTTGACAAAACAATCCCAACTCAAGGTCAAGCTACTAGCTTTTGCCTGGAGCTTTCCACCGTATCACATGGTCTGCATCAGCAGATGGAGTCTGGTCTGGAGTCATGCTCATTGATATGTATCTGCCAAGTCAGTAGAAAAACTCCATCCATCAATGAAGACCATATGAGAGGGTGCGATGTTCCATGTCCAACTATCATCTAGAAATTGAAAGGTCAACAGTGAAGTTTCATGCTGACTGACAAAGATGTTTTTCATGCATTTTTGTTGATTTTTACATCACATCAGGTGTTCAGGTTAGTAGATATTTGGTAGTACATCAATAAATCATTATCAGTGCAATACATGCTGCATCTGTTTTGTATAACTGTTTGGCATTCCTCTCCTCTGAAGGGTGGTGCAACAAAACAACCTCCTCAGACAGAACTTCAGGAAAAACACTAACCTCAAACCCACCGTCTAACTGCATGTTAAATTACGACCACCATATGTTTTATACCTGCACTTCTGCTGCTGTTTTGTATACACATCAAAAGTCACTTTTTGTGAGTTTTTATTCTTTTCAACTTTATTTTTTGGAAGTCAGATTCCTCCACTGTTGACTGTTGGATATGAGCATACGATTTAAACTGAGATATTGTATAATTACCTGTTTGGCCTTCACTCTTTGGCTGCACTGATTGTGTATCAATGTAATAATTACTGTTAATGTAATAACTGAACAATTGTTAAGTTTTTAGCAGTTGTTACATTAACTGTAGTTATTATATTACTGGCTGCCACATACGTACCTACAAGCATAAACCTGCATACAGTAGCAGCAAGCAGACAAAAAGTGTGTTGCATGTGTATGCATGAAAGCATGTGTACTTTAAACTACTTAATTCAGTCATTTTGACCTGCACAATCATCTAATGCAACACTTCATTAATGTAAAAGTATTTGTTCTGAGTTATGTCCATTGATGCTGTCAGTGAAAATGAGCTGCATTTATGAATAGCATCTAAATGCAGCGTTGCTCCAGTCTAACACAGAGTCAATGGACAGTGTAGGCTCTAAGTATGACCTCCACTGTATTTCTTTGCTTTGGCATGCCAGCATCTTTAGAATGGCTCCATAATAACATAGTATAAAACCATTAAGAGCCACTTTAACACAACAAACTTCAACCACAAGCATCATCCCCCTCTCTCACTCAGTCTGTCCTTTTCTCTCTCTCTGGTCTTCCTAAATAAACCGCAGTCAGATTAAGGAACAGCTGGATATACTGTAGATTCCTTAGGAGTCAAGCTGACCAAGACTTGTAACCCCTTATACAACCAGGTGACTGGAATAAATTAGAATTTATACACATAGAGGCATGCCATATGTATTTACATATACTGTAGATAGTTCCCTTCATGCACATGCATGCCAGCAAGGCCAGTGACCAAAATCATAATCCAGGAACTGCTGCCTCGGTAAACACTGTGGTCTCTGTCCTGCAGATTGGTGTTACAGTGTCACACTAGAATAATTCTACAGTGGATCCACAGCAATCTAAGGAATAGAAAAATATAATGCATACAGGTATCTAAAAAGGTCTAAAAAGAGTATTCGTCAGTGTCGTAATGTTCTAAAAGGGTAGGGATGCAGCAGGTTGTTCAGACACTGACTTGTGTCCCAGCATCATTGGCCCACGGATCACCCCTCCTGATCCTCAGCCATGTTGAGGCCCTCTCAGCACTCTCTGAGGGCTTGAGCGATAACAGCAGTACCTGTGTCCCGGTCCATGTTGACCCGAGTGACTTTAACAACTTTTCAGAAATTCTGGAAATGATTAATACATTTAAGAGAAAGCCCAGCTGACTGCTGCATAAGCGACTAACATCCTACTACAGCTCGAAGACACAGATGAGGCTTGCTGATAAAGCATGATATCGTGCTGCAGTAAACAAGCTGTCATCACAACAGTGAGTACTGATTTTAAGCTCTTGGGATTTAAGTAAGTAGAACACAAATGAAGCATAACCAATAAACCTGGATAGAATCCCATTACAAATTAAACGTCTTAATCTTAATAACTTAATAACTTAATAACTCATGTGGATGTATTTTTAATGCTTTTGGACACCACACTCATTTTCGTTTCTCAACATGATCCTTATCTGAATTACTTGTCAAGAGGCAGCAACCACAATTCATTTCCTTTAATAATCAACAAGCCAGTTATTATACTGACACTTGTCAGTGTAACAGTGATGCCAGGGAACAGCAGTACAGTCTGTCGTCTATCTATATTTATATTACTATTTTTATTAGAATAGTCGGTATTTAGTACAATGTCTGTAGAAGGCACAGAAAAATCCTATCCTGCTGGTGGAGAAGTCAGTTCATAAAACACTTTGTTCTAGAGAACATGGACAAATTACGTATTGTTGTTTAATCTGGAGGACTTTTTGGAATTTTTTTCCACCCAACTATAATGGAGGTAGATGAGGTGCTCACAGCATTGAAACCGACATTTCAAAAAATGAAACATCTCTTTCCAGACTCAAAATCGCTGTGACTCTAATACTACATTCACATTTTATGGAATCAATGGTAGAGTTGGGAAACATTTGCATGTTTGCAACTCTGTACAGCTCATGATGGCTGTATGATACGTGGTTGCTACAATGACAACACAGCTCTATATCCATAACATTTTGGTTTGATAAACATGAACGAGGGACTCTGGCTGACTTGAGGCGTCTATGTTTGTTTGATTTACTGGTCCTTTCATATTATTAAGTGCCAAGTTACACCTATCTGAATTTTGGTTAAAGCCAACAAAACCTATGTTTACTTCATATGCACAACGCAATAACTGATCAACAAGGCATAATATATTGTATGCAGAAGATAATAACCTTTATGTTTTTTAAATCGCTGACCAAGAAATTAGTTGTGCAAAACCAGCTTTATTTAAAGAAACACTCTGGGTTTTCTCCCTCTGAGGGATCAATTCACCACGCTTTACTGAAACACAGAGTATACTGTAATTAAATAAGTGAAAACTGTCATTTACCTCAAGCTTTTGGAGGAGTCAGTATAATAGTATAGATTCCATTCATAATAATAACTGAGGTGCTCACTTGATATCCAGAGTAATTAAACTGTTGATGCAAGAGTTAATGGCCTTTTGTTCTGACCCCCAGCAACATCCATCCAGACCGTAACAGAGGCTCTGCTCACTACAGCTGTGAGATCTGGATTTAATAAAGTAATTTAATCACATGAGTTTATTTGAGATAATTGGACGGAGGTGAAGCGGTGTGTGTGTGTGTGTGTGTGTGTGTGTGTGTGTGTGTGTGTGTGTGTGTGTGTGTGTTACGTATACAGTAGAGGGCGGGTTATTCTTGTACAAACACTTTTAAGGTAAAATGGAAAACAACCCTATCATGTTATCACATCAATTTGCCATTACGTCAGGGCTTTAATGCATCCTGTTTTTCTGTAGTCACAATTTGTTAATCTGTTAAAAAATACTTTAAACTCATGGTCAGGATGACTTCACTTTTTTTTCTCTTCTGAAACAAACTACTCTCTGTATCTGCATTGACTGCAGTCCTAAAGATCTAAACAACCA